TTTAGACCAAAATGTAATAAGACATTAATTTTAGTCAAAAATTTCTCAGAACCTGATTTTCTTAGATCACAACCCAATTACTGTAATAGAGTATGTAAGTTTTATGAAAGTAACAAAATAATACAACCTAATGGTATGAAAGTATATCTAGCTTTCTATTGTAAAAAAGCTTCTTATAAAACAAAAAGTTATTATTTAGAAATTATAAAAGCTAATATAATAAAAACTAAAAAACATAAAATTGATCATCATCAATCAAAAATTTATGAAAAATTTGAAAAATTGATAATGCTAAAGTAGATATGGCAAATTGTGCTATTATAAAATTTTTTGCCTGTTATAATATTCTTTTACAGTAAATTCTTGATATAATGAATTTTAAGATCTGGGTATCAGCTTCATTATAAGCTTATAATGAATTTTTTAAAGAATTTAATTGGCTAATTCACTATAGTAAAGTAATTTTAATATATTTGATTTAAAAATTTGCTATATTAAGATTTGACTGTACATATTATCAAAAATCCTTTTTTTGTTGATCTTTTATGTATATTGTGTTCAGATTACTTTCCTCCTAATAAAAATACACTTTTAATGATTATGTTTAATACAGAATTAGCTTTTGTAACTGGTGAAACTGAGGATGGTAAAAGTTGGTTATAGTCAATCAATAGTTAGTCAGAGTCCTTTGGCTAAGTGACTGATAATATTGACTAGTTGACCAATTTATATAATAATAATATAATTTAAAGTTCTTGATCATTAATTTTAATTTAAACTTTAAATAATACTAATATAGTATTTGCTAAAACTCTAATTTTTATATATTTTACTTAGTTCTTTTAGGCTAACTCAATATGCATATTAAATTTACTTTCATATTTACAACATTATCACGAATATTTTTTAAAAAATAAATTAAAAATTTTTATTTATAAAAAATTACATAACTAAAATGATTGTTAATTAAATATAAAGAATTCTTAAATTACTAATTAAAAAATGTTTAGTCAACTGATTAGTCAAAATTGGTCAAAATCAGTTAATCAACCAGTCAGTTATAATTATAACTGATTACAACTAAAGATAGACATCATAATTAAAAAAAATAGCTTAATTGAGTTGCAACTTGTGATGCAATTAAATTTCCTTATGACGCAATTAAGTTACAACTCAATTGAAATTTAAAAATAATTAAGGAGACCCTTTTAGTCACAACTGTAACTATTAGTATCCCTAGGTGAAACTAATGAAATATTAAAAAATGAGATAGATCTTACTTTAAATAGTAATTTTATTGATATTTATTAATTGTTATAAATATTACTAATAAATATAAATTCTATTTAGATCTAAATAGATGGACTAGCCTATCTAGTTAATTTCTTTATGCTTTTCTTATTATTATAAAAAAAAGAAAAGAAATTGTATATTTTATTCAAAATTTATCAAAAGAATCTCATACTGCTCTATTTCTTTTAGAAAAAATAATTAAAGTTATCAAAGATGTAAGATATAAAAAGTTCTCGGATTTAGTATTAAATAATGCAAAAACTATAATTTCTGCAAAAAATTTAGTCTTTAAAGAATATGAAGCTATAATTCCATTTGATGTATTTCCTATTACATTAACCTTATTATTATAAATATTTGTAAATTAGAATTTACAGATTTCCTTTTAAAGAAATGTATGAAATTGGTCTGATATTTTAAAACTCTTATCAAGCTAGATATCATTTATATAAAAAACAATATTCAAGGTGATGGTCTAAAATTATATTGTAAAACAAGATAAACAACAGCTTAGAATTGCGTATTTTTTATTCTTAAATATAAAAACATTTTAAAAAAGGTTAAATTTATAATATTTATCTATTTTTTTTTATTTTAATTAATTAAATTTATTAAACTAGATTATAAATAAGAATTCAGAATATATTAAAGATATTAAAACTATTATCACAAGACAATTTTTTTTTAATCTTAAAGAATTGAAAAAAATATTAAAACTAATAAAAGAAGCTGTAAAGTATTTAGAAATGAAATCAATAATATTAGCAGATTATTTTTATCAGTTACCATACCATTCTGAAATTAAGCAACCCTTTTTTGCTATAGGGTTACTTAATTTCAGGTACTTTTCTTTCGTAGAAGAAGAAACGAAAAATTGCTGCATAATAAACATTTCGTCATCACATTATGCAAAATAATTATTTGTATAATGTAGTACAATTTCACGATCAATAAATCATGCGTGATTAATCACAAATTGAACTTGTTTCTAAACTTGTTTTAAAACTTAATATGTCATCACAAAAGCAAAAAAAACTAATATTTGTTAATAAAAAAACTCTCAAATGAAGCTGCAATTCATATTCTATTAAACAAAAGTGACAAGTTGTCACTTATTCTAAGAAAAATAGAATAATTAGAGTGGCAAATACTTTTGAACTTAATAAAAGCATAGTTAGTTGCTGGGTTAATTCAAATAAAAAGTGGTTTAAAGAACCAAACCAAAATTGCAAACGAATAGGTTCTGACTGAAAAAGTTTTTACTCAGATGCTGAAAAAAACTATACAATTAGATCATTAAGAGAGAAAGCAGAGTTTAGGTATTATATATGCTATCACATGAGTTAAGATGCTGAATATTTTAAAAGAACCTGCTATGATAAGTCTTTATGGATATTTAACAAATGAATTTAATACATCAAATCGTTAGATGTTTGCATTCATAAAAAGATTTAATCTATCTCAGCAATGTTGAACTAAAGTTTTACAAAACTTCTATCACAAACTGCTGAGTTATTAAAAATTTCTGTCAGTTCATCATCAACCTTAGAACTGAAAAATCATTTGAGTTATCTAACATTTTAAATATAAACAAAACTCCTGTCTGGTTTGATATAGCAGGAAACTTTACAATCAATATTATAGGTGAAAAACAATTCATATTCACGGTACTGGCAATGAAAAAAACTGATTTACAGTTGTCTTGACATGTGCTATAGGTAAAGTTCCATTTAACAGTTTTTTTTTCTTTTAGCTTTATTTTTATCTAATTTTTATTCTGTAGATGGTACAAAATTTTCACCGATTTGCATCTTTAAAGGTAAATGACTACCATGCAGTGAACAGATTCCATCTAATGTCATTGTTTGGTTTCAGAAAAACAGATGGATGAATACCGATTTAATGAAGAAATATGTTGATTACATTAATAATAATCTAATAATCAATAATGTTTCAACAATGATGGTATACAATTCTTTCTGAGGATATCTTGAAGATTCAGTTAAAACCAGGTTTCGTAATAATGGTATCGATTTAGCAGTTATTCCAGGTGGTTTAACTAGCATATGTTAACCACTTGATGTAATAATTAATAAGCCATTTAAAGACAATCTTCATAAGAAATGGCATATCTGGATGACAGGAAATAGTACAAATGTAACCACATCAGGAAACCTTCATCATGCTAGGTTATCTGATATTTGTAGGTAAGTCAAACGTGCTTGAAAAGAATTCCAAATGAAATGGTTATAAAGTCTTTCAAGACTTGCAAGATTTCGACTTCTTTGGGCATATCAGATGATGATGATAAAGATTCTAGTGATGATATAATTGGTAGCAATGATGGCAATGATGATGATAACAGTGGTGATGGTGATGATGATGATAGTGATGATGGTGATAGCAATGACAATGAATAATATTACTAATTACTGAAGTTTAGACTAATTAATATTTTATAATAAAAATACATTATTAATAAATTTAATGCTATTTTTATTGTTTATTATATTTAATTATTATGTTTAATTACAGGAATTTATGGGTTGTTTATTTTCAGATCTACACTAATTGATAGGTTGCTTATTTTTTGGGGTTGCTTAATTTCAGAACGGTACAGTAATTAAATTATCAATTTCAATTAAAAACTTACCTAAATCAATATCATCTTTCTGCCAAAATTGAATTATTACCTTTTATAAAAGATGAAAATAATTTGATTTTAACTTATATATATTAGCTTATCTTCTTTATTACAATATTATAATATATATTTATATATTTTTATATTTTTATATTAAATTAAATATTAAGTAAATTAGTTATTTATTTTATTTGTGTTTAATTTAATAGGAAAAGGATTCTAACAATTTGTATTTCATTATATAATCCATTGAATTATTAAAAATATTTGGTTAAAAATAAAATTAGGTGGGTTAAATACAAATGCAAAGTTAATTGCACAATTAACTGCTTATTGTGAAAGAAGATCATTATGTGATGATAATTTTATTATTTAATTATAAGTTAGTGAAAATTAATAGAACAGGATGAAAATTATATATAATAACTTGCTATAAAGATATTATTAATAACTTCAACAAATGCTAGTTGTGAAAGAGTGTTTTTAATTCTTAGATGCAATATGAATAAAAGAAAACAAGGTAATATTTATCTTAATTTTTATATTTATCAAAATTATAAAATATATCTAATACTAAATAATTTTAGGTTAAGTGTGAAAAAATTGCAAGATATTGCTAAACTTCATGCTTATTATGTCTCAAGTGTTAAAAAAGTGTTGAAATTTACAGCTCAAAATTTAAGTAATGATAATGTTTATATCACTATGTAAAATATACTTTCAGACAAATTTGAATTGGATGAAATTGATGAAGAAAATATTGTTGATACAGAAAATGATAGTCAATTTGATTTTAAAAATAATGAAATACAAATTGAAAATTTTATAAATTTAAAAGATAAAGAATTAGCTGAATTATTAAAAATACAGAAAGTTTGAGTAGTTATTGAACTAACAATTATTGATTATAGTAAAAAAATTTGATTTAGATAGTTTATTAAATCAAAACCTTAGTAATTAAATATCTATTTTATAATTGATATTTACAGAATTGATATTAAATAAACCTTTCATTTTTTATAATAGAATACATGATTATCATGTTATTAATATTTTATTTATAATTTTTATCTATTTTATTAATTTTCATTATTTTTTAGTTTTTTTTAAAAAATAATAAAAATATTTACAATGATAAATTTTATCACATAATTAATTATAATTTCATAATTAATTATGTTTACAATAAATAATTTTATTATATATAATTAATTATAACTTCGTAATTACTTACGTTTATGATACATAACCTCTAAAGTCATCTAAAATGTAGATCAGTCTAAAATTTTAAACAACGATTTTTACGTGACTTTAATCATGTGCCTTAATTTTATTAGGCAGCATGCTTTAATTTTATTGGTTAATTTTTTTCATATTGGTATATTTTCATGAAAATAAGAATTAAAAGCCATTTTTTTTCTTTCTTTACAAATAACAAATATTGTAAAGTTTGAATATCATCTAATTTATCTAACTCTTCAAAAATACTATCCAGAATTCTTTGATGAGATTTATATCTCTTTACAGTATACTCAACTAATCACCTTTTCTATAAAGATCTATATAACGTCAACACTTTCGTGAAAACTTTCTAATCATTATTAAAGGTACAGATTCCAAACTTTTAGATACTATCCGTTGCAATCCTTTTCATGAATAATCACAATTTTCACGTGAATATCTTGGCAGCCTCCCAATATTTCTTAATAAAATTTAGTTCACAATAGAGGTTTGAAAAAAAAATGCATTTATGTTCTGCATTTTCAATTAATTTTTCAATTGCATTTTTTTGAGCAAAAAAATCAGGTTCCAAAGATATTACTTGACGTGCATAACAAGAAATTCTCAAAACATCTTAGATTTTTTCTTTATATTTTTTACATTCTAATGCTAGTTCTTCAGATGGCCATCTTCTTTGTTCTATTAATACTTGCTTAATTTCTTTAGGTATGCCTTATAATTTTTCATCAGGATAAATTTCTGGAAATACCATTGATTATAACTGATTATTTGATCTAAAGTAAGTATCCTGCATTATTAGTTGCTTTTCATCTAGGCTTAGATTTATTATATTTACAATTAAAGCACCTTTATTAAACGTGGCATAATTACTACTATTATCAAAAGCAAATACAGCTACACAATCTGTATATAATGTCTCTAAGATAGAAATTATCTTATTTTTAATCTATTCAAGAAAATGGTCTGCTATCCAATGACCATCTTGGTTTATACCAGGTTTTAAGTAACATTGTGTTTCTTTAAATATGTTTGGATATTTTTCTATATCAGTTTACTGTAAGCATAGACGTCTATCAATTTCAGTTAGAAATTCACTAACCATTATTGATCTCCTATTTCCTTTTTTTTGTAGTGGCATTTTTTCATCTTTAGTTCATACTCTGTGTTTACCATCATTTGAATAAAAAACGCATTCATCATGAATTACAAAAACTCTTTCTTTCTCTTCTTCAAGTAAGTCAGGATGAGTTTTGTCTAAAGTTCTAAATCAGGTCAGGTTAACCTGTGACCTGACCTAAAAAATCCAGGTCAGATAAACAAATTTTCAGGTCAATATCAGATCAGGTCAAGCTTATGATCTAACCTGATAAAATTCAGGTCAACCAATCAAATTAAGCGAAATAAAATATTTAAAATAAAATCTTTTTTTTGTTTATTTTTTTTTTAAAACATCTTTAATTTTATTTAATATACTTTCTTTTTATATTCTAATAAAGTTATATAATTACTTTGTAATTTATTATAATCAAAAAGTTAAATTTTAAATTATAAACATTTTTGCAATTACATTGTT